TGAATATACTTGGTATACAACCAGGGATATGAAGAATCGTGACCTATATGTGTAATATGAAGCGTAATGCATTCCATGGTTATATATAAAAAATTAGAACAAAAAAATTTTTAAAAAATCTTTACCTTTCCAAGAGAGGATGTATTAAGGGAATTATGAGGTTATTCTTGAGTGTTCTTCATTAACATTAAGATAGTTTAAACTTTATGATTTGTATGCATAAATACTATGGCATTTACCTTCACTATAAATCTGATAATTCGAATAATTCGGTAATATTAATTAACATTCGGTAATATTAATTAACATTAATATCTTTGGGATTTAGAAAATAAATTGAAACTTAGAAAATTTAGATGATTACCAGCAATTAACAGCTTTATAAATGGTAAAAATGAAGCTTGCCACCAAATCTTCTACATGCCATTCTCTAGAAATCTCAAAACAGAAAAAGTAACAGCATTCTTACCATTTTAGATCTCCTCTCATAAATCCATAGAATGGATATAATTCAGGTGCCAGCCTTCTTTACCTTCCTTTCCCTCCCTCCCTCCCTTCCTTCTTTTCTTCTTCCCTCTCTCCCTCCCTCCCTCCTTCTCTGCCTTTCCTTATTCCACCTTCCTCTTTACTGTCTCTTGACTTCCCTTCTTTCCTTTTTCTTTGTCCTTCTTTTCCTTTGATTGTTTCTTTCAAGCATTTGTTTTTAGTTTCTCTGATCTGACTGGGAAAGTTTTTTGTGCAGTGGTCTCTAGACTTTTAGATTGTTACACTGCCACTACAATCCAACATATTATTTCCTATCTTTGTTTTAAAGCACATAGACAGCTGACCTAACTCCAACTTGCTTCCAAGCAGAGGTACTGATACATGCTCATTGCCATGAAAATATAAAGTCAAATTGTAGATGAAAACTATAAGATTATCATGTGTGTATTATTGATTTTTTAAAATTTTTGCAGCAGCAGAAACAACCATGCAATGACAGCATAGCTCTCAAATAAATAATGATTCATGCATGTCAATGGAATGCATGTTCTGGATCAGAATTACGTTATCTGGAATGGTTCAGTTCCAGAACTATGTCCCTGAAGTTTCAAGATATAAATGGAAAATTATCTTCCTGAATTTTTTTTCCTCTTGAAAGATATTTGGAATGTAGATTATCTGGAATGATTTGGTATATTAGCGACACGGGGAGACAGACTGGAGACCAGATGCACTCCCCAAATAATTAAGTATTAAATTTCTACTTCATAAGAACTTTAAATTTTAATTCAAAGTTTTCTTGGTTTGCATCTTGGACACAAGATTATGTGGGAAGTATGTCCGTATTTATCATTATTATTAACTTTGACAAAGGAAAGTAACTTCCAAAACTAACTAATCAAAATGCTTAGTTTGTTATTATTTGTACATATAAGCATTTCTATTATTTAATCAACACTAACATAATACTTGATTTTCAATTGATAATGCCACATCTGAAAACCCTTTGTATATTCACTATTTCCCAAATTTCTTTCCTTAGAATACCAGTCACATGAGGTATTCTACCAAAAAAAAGCAGCTTTCTAGACTAGTAGTTTGAAAATAAAATATTTATAAACTGGACCAACTTCATTCTCTTATCATTTCACAGATTTATTGATCAAGGCATGTTTCTTCCCAAGTAACTCTAACTAGCACATAGTGATGTGCTTGCATTCTCAGAAAGTAAGGATTTAAATCACTCAAATATCTCTTTTGTAATATATAGATGCATAATCTTGATAATGGACCAGATTTTTGTTTGTTTACTGGAAGGCTTGTAAGCATTTAAATAAAGCCTTAGCCCCTTGGTTTATAGGACAAAGGAAAACATGGTGAAAACAAACAAACAAACAAAAAAAAAGGTAAAGAGAAGATGTGAAATAGCTCTTGCATAAATTCAAAAGAACAAAATTTAATGATGATGAAAATGGTCAATGTTATGTGTAAAATAATGTAACCCAGGCAATTTTGTGTGAGGCTTTGGAGTTTCTGGAGTTCTGATCTTGACACTTTTGTTTGAGTTTAGAAAGTCAAAGGCGGTGGGGGAAGGGGAGGGAGCAGAGATGGGGGGAGGGGGAGGGAAGGAAAAGAACACAGCACAGCATTCTTAGTTGCTGTCTATGCTCCAAAGATTCCCTTATTATAGGTTCTAAGCCCAAATTCAGATGACCTAACTACAGGTCAGACTCAGTTGTCTGCAGGTCAGATTCCTCCATGAGTACCTGGAGGAGTCCCAAGTATTGAAATAACAGAGGATTTATGCATGTATGGGAAGGGTGGGGTTTGGGTGAGGATATACCCAAAGCATCCCTTGTGGTCAAAACACATCTTCTGAGAAGTCAGTAAGGATGCAAATCATAAGAATTAAGGAGAGTCCAGAGCACCCATGGATCAGTTCAGGGATCAGAAGGGTCATAAGACTCTATGGGTAACTATTCTTATAGAAAATATTTCTTTAGGGGCAGAGAGAAGCAAAAATTAACAAGAAAAGGAGAAAAAGAAAAGGAAGATTATGTGAAGGAGGATGGTGGAATGCACAGAAGGTAAGAACAAGAGAGTGAACACTGAGCAGGTGCTGCTCAGAGGTGTTAAAATGAATCATTTGCTTTTTTTGTGGTGCAAGAATTAAAATCAAGAATCAATAAATGGGATGGACTCAAACGAAAAATTTTCTTCTCGGCAAAAGAAACAATCTGTGAGGTGAATAGAGAACCTACATCTTGGGGGCAAATCTTTACCCCTCACACATCAGATAGAGCACTAATCTCTAGTGTACATAAAGAACTCAAAAAGCTAAACACCAAAAAAAAAAAAAAAAAGAACCCAATCAATAAATGGGCCAAGGACCTGAAGAGACACTTCTCAGAAGATGATATATAATGAATCAACAAATGTATGAAAAAATGTTCATCATCTCTAGCAATTAGAGAAATGCAAATCAAAAATACTCTTGGATTTCATCTCACTCCAGTCAGAATGGTAGCTCTTATGCATACAAACAACAATAAATGTTAGGCAAGGATGTGGGTGGAAAGGCACACTCTACATTGCTGGTGGGACTGAAAATTGGTACAGCCAATATGGAAAGCAGTATGGAGATTTCTTGGAAAATTGGGAATAGAACCACCATTTGACCCAGCTATCCCTCTCCTTGGTCTATACCCAAAGGACTTAAAAAAACAGCATACTACAGAGACACAGCCACATCAATGTTTGTAGCAACACAATTTACAATAGCTAAACTGTAGATCATTTGCTTTTTTAATGAATTTATCTATTGTCAACAAGTTTTCTGAGTATTCTTTTTTATTATCACATTGCATATGAATTGAAGATCTCAAGAGTTAACACTAAATTTTACACATAGTGAATTTGTAATCCAGGTCTTAGGACCCAAATGCTCACATTCATTCTGCTAAACCCCTCAACAAAGATGAACTGGAACATCTGGCCACAACATCAAACAGGTCTACCTTTGTGTCCCAATATAGGGCTACCCACTAGAGTTCAAGTGGGCTTTGGCCTCATGGACATCTCTACCTCAGTGGCTCCTCAGTCTATTCACATGGAATTCCGAAAGGCAATCAATCAATATAGTCCTTGGGTTTAAAGTGCTGGATAGTCTTCAATGTGAAGTCAGTTGACTTTATGGAAATGCTCACAGAAGTGTGTTAATTTTAGAATGTTTTAAATAAATGATTACAAATAGGAAAGGCTGAAATTAAAAGATTATATATATTAGGAATGCAAATAATTCCTTATTCAAAAAATGGCACATTTTCTGTTAACATCAGGTAAGAGAATTCATTTTTCATATTTATTTTCCTAGGAATATTATATCTTATAATAATTGACCATAGGATTCTTTTGGTAAGGAAAACATTTTATTTTCCCCCTAAGGCTGTGCATTTAAAGGGTTTTGGTGCCTCCCTCATCCATCCACAAGAAAGAAATAATGGAAGGAAAGAGGGATAGAAAGAAGAAAGAGAGGAAGGGATGGGGAAATTGAGTAGAGCAATGTTCTAAAGGAGGAACTTCTTAAAAAATTTTAAATTCGCATTTTTGTGGGGACTGAGAGCAGCACTGATATGCAGCACTGTCCTGTGACTTACAGAGCAGAACCAGAAGCTAGAAAGGCAGTCTGTCCTTTGCTTTCTTGGACTCCCTGGCCTTCACTGGGTCTCTTGACCTTATGCACTTCCTTTTCCAACTTGAAAATCTTAATCTAGGGGAAAGCATGCTGACATCCTCTAAGCAGAGAATATGGACATTTGAGAAAGACCTGAAATGGTTAAAGGCATGGCCAGGCTTACTGGGGCCACATGTTTCCCAGAGTGTGACCTGCAGGCACACACCTGGGCTTGCTCAGGTTACAGCTCACTCCTTGCAGCCCTCAGGTCAGGCCCTGGTCCATGATAGACCTGGGACCCTCCTTAATTAAGCATACCAATCACCTAAAGCAACAAGAGGGTATTAGGGAATATTGGATGTCACTCAGTCTCTATTTAGACTTCCTTTCCCTTTAATTATTTCAGAAGAAAAACACCAACTTTCTTTTTGCAAGTCAAAAATAACAAAAGCAAAGCCCCTTAAAGGAATAGATATCTGTAGGGATTAAGTGATGACTACCAGGATTTTTAACTGCCCTGCATTTCTGTTAATTTGATGTTACCCTGAATTCAGGCAGTGCTAGATTATCTATTCCCAGTAGCTTGCCCCTACTGATGTCTCATTTGGAAAATGTCGGTGATCAGTCACCGTCTGGTTTTATGAAGAAAGTGTTTGTAAATTCTTACTTGATTCCTTCCTGTTTAGAAACCAGTTGTTGTATTTGTTGTTCTTGAGGTCACTCCTCCTTACATCTAGGGAGCCAGTGGATGTTAAGAAACACAAACTCTGTTTTCTGATTCAAGGAGAGATTTTTTTCCCCAGAATGGTCTCTAAATCACTCAGGGGTTTAAAGAACTTACCACATCAAAGGGAAGGGAGGGATGCTTCCAGTTATCCAAGTGGACTGCAGGTGTGTGAGGGTGGGCTCTCTCCATCTAAAAAATTGATAATCAATTACAAATTTCTAATATATTTCATGCAGAATGTGTCATGAGGGATTCAAGATAACAGGGATTTTGCTTTCCCCTACAACTTAAAGTAGAATTTAGAAAATAAACTAAAGGAATGTGATTTTTTTTTTTTTTTTGCACTAGGATTGAACTCAGATCAGAGGCACTAAATCAGTGAGCCATATCCCCAGCCCTTTTATTTTAAAATGTTAAGATAGGATCTTTCTTTCTAAGTTCTTAGGACTTCACTAAGTTTCTGAGGCTGAGTTTGAATTTGTGATTCTCCTGCCTCAGCCTCCTGAGTCACTGGGGTTATAGGTGTGTATCACTGCATCCCACTGGAATGAGATTTTTTTAAAAAAAAGTTAGTCATCTTTAATCTGTACCAATTTGTCCACTTGTATTTCAATTCATAGCAAGAGATTCCAAAAAAAATATTAGTGAGTGGTGTTCACCATATCAGCGCTGGAATATTACTTAAAATAAGCCTCGTTTTGATTTTTGAGCAACTCATCCCATGGCAGAAGAAGAAAAGGCAAAGGCACACATACAACAGAGAGAAAAATCAGGCCACATTTATCATTTGTATCAAGAACCCACTCTTAGATAACTAACCTACCCTCATGATTATGGCATGAATTCATTCATGAGTTTTGGAAGAGACATTCAAAGCTTAGCAACCACTTTGTAAACATTTTCTTTTTCAGGCTGCATCCCCTTCCCCCCAAAGCAGCCACCCAGTCTACTGACTAGCTGGCTGCTCCATGCCATGTCTAGATCTCTTATAGAACTGTTCAACTAGAGCACTGTGGGTCCTCAGAAACTACGGAGCACCACTTCTCCCCTAGTTCAGACATTTTCTCTGCATCCACAGACAGCCTTTCAGTGAGGCTGAGGGGATAGAAACACCATTTCAATTTATTTCTCTAAGCAAAGGGTGTCACTGCACCGTAGCAGCTGCTTTTAGTCCTGCCTTATTCCTGCAATATAAGAAATTATTTACACTTAAAACAAAAAGATAGTTCCTTTTCCTAAGAATAGTAACAAGGCAGTTGGTAAATGACTTTCTACAGGAAGAAGGGAAGGGAATTTAAGTTATTTTATTTTTTTTGCAAACTGAATGATACCTTATTTGATTAATAAAAATTATGTAATTATTTGCTGTTTTATTTAAAATACAAATAAGTAAATAAATTTGGAATTCTGATTAGTAGAACATTTGAAGTTATTGACGTTTTATTTTTGCCTTTTTTAAAATAATTGACTTATAAATTTTGTCCGGATTATAGAAATATTATTTGTAAAAATCATTTAGAAAGCATAGAAAAAAAGCAATAAAGAAGAAATAAAAATTACTCATGTGTCTTTCAATCACTCAGTTAAGTTTATTATGAATTTTTTAAAATTTCTTTCTCATCTTCATGTTTGAATATGTAAATTGATTTTATAGAAAGTAGGATATTATCTTATGTCATATGTTGCATTACTTTGTTTTCCATCACAATAACAAAATACATTGGACAGGCTAACTTATTAAAAAAGGAGTTTATTTTGGCTCATGGTGCTGGAGGTCCAAGGTAAGAAGGATGCATCTGGGGGTGGCTTCTTCTTGGCAGAGTTCTGAGATACAGGGCATTGCATAGCAAGAGACAAGGGCCAGAAGGGTATGTTGCTTGTGGTTTCTCTTCCTTTTCTTATAAAGTCACCAGAATTCAATCGTGAGGCCTCCATCCTGATGACCTTATCTAATCTTAGTGAACTCACAAAGGTTCCTTCTTTAAACACCACAGTCAGATTAAGATTCTGCTCCCTAAATATCTCACCAACGGGATTAAATATCAGGACATGAACCCTTGTGGGACACTAAATCATATCCAAACCAAAGCATATATATTATCTGATTTTTTCATCAAAAATAATTTTATACGTATGCCTCAATGCCCTTTGGTATTGTTAAGCAGAATATTTCTGGTTACGTGTTATTCAGCAATAAAAGTATCATGTCCCCTGACACATCAACTGAGAAACATGTGATTAATTAAGCACCCTTGGTAAGGGTGGAAATAGAGGTAGGTCTCTTTCTCTCATTATACACTAAAAGAAATCATTGACAATTACGGTTAAATGTAAATTAAAATATAATTTTTTTCTGAATATGCAGACAGAAATAAACATAATATTATTTTAATTTAAAGAATTTACTTTTAGCAGAAATACTAATGAAATCAAGGGATTATTTGCAACACTTAAATAGTCAATATGTGCCGAGATGTAATATAAAGATATATATAAGTAACACAGGAAAAAAATTACAAATAAGTAAATTCTCTTTACATAAAACTGTAAAGAAAAATGTATAAAGCATATTGATGGGTGACTTTCAGAAAAGAAATATAAATATTCAATTTCATGACAATTTCTAATTTTTATTGTTTTATTTTTCTTCAAATCAAATGACTACTTGACCCTGGAGATATACATCATGTTTTTATATATACTTTTCCCCCCTCAATGCAATATAAGCTTCACGAATACAATGTTGCTACCTTTTTAATTTTCCAAAACAGGCCCATATTCGGTGTATCTAGAATCAGTCAGCTACTGCTGTGTACCAAATAACATCAGATTTCAATGGTGTGTAAAAGTAAGTCTTTATAAACATTTACTATTTTCTTTCTTTATTTCTCACAATTTTCCCCATAAACTATGACATTTAGCCTCATTTTGCTGTGGCTGGGGCATCTGTACTTATCCTGTGCCTCATTTTCCTGAGACCAGTGGGCATGCACTTTTTCTGAAGATTGCATAAATACAATAAGATATGATCAGCCACAAAGTCTCATTACAATTCCCTAGTACATTACATGTCCAACTTTCAGTTGGCTAAAGAACACATTACAAAGAATAAAGTCAAGAATAGGGATATATAACTCACTTTTTGTAAGAATATACTATAAAGTTACAAAGCAGAGTATGGATACAGATAAAATGAAGAATTGGGGCCAATAATCCTTCCCAAAATGAGTGAAGTGTGTGTGTGTGTGTGTGTGTTTGTATAAAACTAAAACAAAATTAGAAAGGCTACTTTGTTCTTAATTATTAATATACTTAATTATAATAGGCAACATTAATGAGAATATACAAAAGTGAGGTGTGTATGCTTCGTTGGACTAGTTTTTCATTTCCATGAAATGGCCATTCTAGGTATAAACAGAGACACTTTTAAAAATTTATTTCTATGAATGTTCATTGCATTACTATTTATTTCTTATTTATTTGTTTATTCATGTATTTATTTATGTATTTTTCAATATTTTGGATTGAACCCAGAGGCTATCTACCATTGTATCATATCCCAAGTCCTTTTTCTTTTTGAGACAGGATCTCACTAAGTTGCTGAGGTAGATCTTGAACTTATTATCTTCCTCCTTTAGTTTCCCAAATTGCTGGAATTATAGGAGTGGACCACCATACCACTCTATTATTTATAATAGAGACAAATTGGAAACAATCTGCTCTTAGTTGAAGACAGCTCTTTCTTTTCTTATTTAGTTTGAACTAACATAGCCAACATTTCTCATTATTGGATATGATGACTTGCAACACTGGCTAAATAACAGAAATGCATTTTTCCCATTAAATCTAATGTAACTATTTGAACTCAATAATTAAAAATAATTTACTGAGTATTATACATTTAAAAAAATGGTCATATTCTGACCTTGACTAGCTTGATAAACAGTAGACAGCTGGAGAGAGAGTGTGTTTATAAAAGTTGCAAGAAATTTTTAAAGATTTCAATGACAGATAAAAATGTATGCTGGAAATTAAGGAGTCCAGACCTCAGACAACTAACTCAGCTGGAAGATCAGGGTAGAACGCTCAAGGACCAAGAGTTAAAATTTTTGCTTTGGGTCTAAATGTGATTAGAAATGTCAAAATTTAGCAAGGATTAATAAATTTCAGCACTTTTGAAAATGCAAAGATTACATACAGGAAGGTCTATTGCCCATGGTTTTTGATGGACATCTCTACTTGACTTCTGGGAGGAAAGCAGAGCTCTTTATCTTTATCCATAGCCTAGGAAAATGGGAATTTTTCTATTAAGTGACCCTGGAAGGAAACAGGGATAGATTTTAACCACCTGATTAGCTGTGAAGGTCACAAATTTGCTTCTTATCTGTCTTGTAGTTCAAGGTTCTCAGTTTAGTTTCTGTTTTAGAGTCCCAAATAAAATTTTGTAGCAGGGAGAAGATAGAGTGGTTCTTTCGCTTATCAAGGTTGATTGGAAAAGAAAGTGATTATAATTTAATAGTTTTTCCTTACTTCATAACATCTAAAACCGAGCTCATGGAAACAGTGGTTTCCCAAAGGCCATTGTCATAAGCAAAAGAGAATCAAGCAGGTGAAATGTCAAGGACACTTGGAGAACCATATGCTTTATATTTTAGCCTTTCTTTTGTTCATCCATTTGTTAATTTGCTTAGTAAATGTTGCAATAAATATTGGAAGGCATAAGACTCTTTAGTTTCCTTGAGATGGTTTAGGGTCATAAACATATTCGTTATGATCAATTAACCCAGGTACACATTCATAAGGAGGGTGTTTAAGCCATCTTCAAACCAAGACCCATCTGTGTCCTTGTTTACTGAGTTAGAAACATTGCATTTCAGAAACAGGAGGCTGCCCTTCAATCTTGATCATGCAGGATTTGAAAGACCAAACCAAGAATCAAATGCATCTAAAATTTCCCTTCTGTCCTAAAAAATATCAACAAATAGAGGCTCATTGAGCCAACCACTCACCACTTCTTTTGATTAATTTTGAGAAAATTAATTGGGCTTGGAGCAGTGGGCCTGAGACCCCTGATTTAAGCAGCATCAGCAAAAAAAAAAAAAAAAAAAAAAAAGAATCTCTTCTTTATCTGGAATTAACTACGAATTCAATTAGAATAAAAATCTTCGATCACCCTGTGGAAGAGATTTTACACAAAAAAAAGCAGATGTTCCAGCAACATTGAGAGCACTTTACCTAGCAGTCTACAGAATTTTCCATCTTGTGAGCCCAATCAGTAGTGAAAGATACGCAGAGGCAGCTTCTCTAACTCACAAAACAGCTTCAGTATCCCCTGCTACTTTAATTAGATTTACTTCTTCAACCAAAAGACTATTGGGCTGAAAGTGTGAAGGAGGGGGCTTTGCTTCATTCTGGGTTAGCATGCATTATAAAAGGTTGAAGGGTCTATTTGAGGGTTCTTTCACAGATTAAAGCTTTTCTTATTTATTATGTGTCTGTTCAGTTGGAAAAAAAAAGTAATAAAATTAATCACCAGAGGTTGTGTTGAGATCATACCTTTGTTCTATTTTCAGATATAAACAGATTACAGGACAATGGATCATACATAGAAATTAGAAGAGATTTAGAACTGATGATAGATAGCCCTTTTTCACAAGGAGATAATAAATGTTCAGAATGGCCCATGAAGTAAGGTTGAAAGTGAAGAGACACCAGATTACATATGGGGACAGTATGCTAGAAATGTAGGGACATAAGATGGGCTGCAGCGATCTCTTTCTAGTTTCCAGAAATCTATTACCTTTGCATTTTTGAAGACCACTTTAATTTATATTTGTTTTCTCAAAGAACAAATCTCAAAGACAAAAGTGAGATTCTATTCTCCATTTTGCAAGAGAGCAGGAGTGGATTATAAAAGCTTATGTACAGTCATGTCAGCTACTAAATAAGATGAAACACACCCGGTGATGCTCAGTGATCATTTATTTTCATGCTTTGGTTTGGAATGCTTATCTTTGCTCAGATTCTTCTCATTAGTGTTACAAAAGTAGCTTCATATATATTTGCATTTCCTTAACTCTACTTTGGACTAACACATCTTCCAAACTTCAGCAAGGTTAGTTCTTCTAAATTGTAAACCTGGTGTAAAAGTCTCCTGTTTCAAATGGCTAAGGCTCATCTTAAGGAAAAACATCTTAGGTCTTCATTTTCCACAAGGCCTCCTTCTCTCTCCTGGGTTATTTCCTGTTGCCTATTCCACTATCAACCCAGAGAATTTTCCAGCACAGAGGCAGCCATTGACATTTTTAAAAAGTAATCTTGAAGATATAATAATATTTAGCCAGGAGATCGGGTTTTAAACCAACATAAAGACTTTAGTTTCAACTGAATGACAAAGGATGTCACTATGTACAGATATTGCACAACCTTACTGACACATTCAGCCTTGCTCTGGATGGAGAGGACTGTGGAGGACAAGAGAGGAAGAAGGAAGATGAAACAGGATGTTATTATTTGTGTTGAGGAGACATTGGGGACTTTGTACTGAGAGGGTTTTACTGGGCATGATGACAGATGGTCAGTTGTCTGCTAAATGTCGAAGGTAGAACTTACAATTTATCATTCCTTGGGATAATGTCCCTACTCCCCAAAAGATATAGAATATATAACTGTGTGAATGATCCACTTCTTTATATTTATTGAATAGACTTGATCAGAGCAATTCCTTCTACTCTCCTTCACTGGAGTTTGTGATATGCCTGACCCCCTGCAGGCATCTGAGTGTGCCACCCTGTCTAGGTAAACTGATGGTTCTGAAGTTGAGTGGCTTCCCTCTCTGGGCTCCCATGACACACTCATGTATTGTCATCTTGACCAACATTCCTATTGGTTCCATGTGGCTCTCTCTGGATTATATTTCTTAATAGTCTTATTATTGGGATCTAGCATAGCAATAAATGGGTGATAGGTTATTGTTGAATACTGATGAAACTAACAAAGTAATGCCTAAACAAATGATTAAATAAACCAATAAATGGATGTTCATTTAGTAGAGTTTCATGGCAGAAACCAAAAAATAAAATAAAATAAAAAATAAACAGTGGGCTGGGAATAAAACTCAGTAGTACAGCACATGCCTAACTGGTACAACAATCTGGGTTCTAGTCCAGTACTGCCACACACACAAAAAAAAAAAAAAGAAAGAAAAATGTATACAATTATACAATGGAGTTTTGATTTGTTTGATACTTAAATTTTTTCTAAGTATTTGAAATTAACAGATTTGTATGTACTCTGTAGTTTACTAATATTTCCTCAATTATAAAATGATGAAAATAAATGAAATATCATCTATTTATAAAATATATGTGTATGTTAATTTATTTTTGTCTATATATATATATATATATATAAATAATGTAATATAAATGTGTATATATATATATATATATATATATATGTATATATATATATATATACACATTTAGATATACATGAGCAGTTATATAGGGTGTGTGTGTGTGTGTGTGTGCTGCAAACTCTTGTCTTCCCAGTCCTAGAGGCACATTATCAGGGAGGTGTCTGTCATACAGAGACAAAGAAGCAAGTCCCATACCCTGATTCTCCTCCAGAAAGCAAGGGATACAAAGAAAGATTGCAAAGCAAGGGAGGCTGCGTGTTGGTGGCAGCTCAACACCTTGAGCTGAGTGCAGAATGCAAGGTTAAGGAAGGTAAGGGACTGAGATGGGAGGTTTGGCTTAGCATGTTAAAGGCAGAAGACTGAGATGCTATCTGGAGTTTCAGAGTGTTGAATGTCAGGGATTTTGACAGGAGTTCCTATAGACCCTGAACTTGGTGACAGATAAGGATCTCTCTTTAGTGGTTCTCCTTAAATATCATGTGTTCTGCCATTTAGGTACAGGAGCCATGTTTTTAAGTTTCATATAAAATACAACCATGTAGATATAAAGTAGAAAGCACATTTAGTATGGCTTAGAGGCCAGCACACAGTGTTTATCAATGTTTATTTCTTTTTCCTGCAGTGCTTGAGGAGTTACCAAGCACACTCCTAATCATTATTTCATTTTCCTTTCATCCTGATAACAGATGGTGAAATACACAGGGCAGGTATCATGATGCCCTTTAAATGGCAAGGAAGTAGATTCAGAGTGACTGAATGCTTGTCTAAGGTTGCATAAGATTCATGTGACACTCAAAATTATTTAATTTTTAGATTATAAGCCTTGCAGGGCTTGTTTTAAATTAAAATTTAATTTTTAGATTATTGTTGATTTACATGTAGTTGTAAGAAATAATGCCCCTTTATCCATTTTCTCCCAGTGCTAACATCTTGCAGAATCATAGTAATAAACCAGATACTGAAATTGATGATTATAATAAGAATTTTTTTCTATCTCCACAATGATTCTTCTTATTTTTCTCTTAGAGCTAACACCAGTTTCCTCCCTCTTACTCAATTTCAACCCATAATTTGACATCCATTCTATAATGTTGTCCTATTAATAATGTTATATCAATGGAATCATGTACTATGTAACATTTTTAAATTAGTTTTAGTACCTTCTATAATGCTCTGGAAATTTATCTAGATTGTTGCATGTATCAATAGACAGTTGTTTTATTGATATGAACCTATCACAATCTGTTTAACCATTTACCTTTTGAAAGATACCTGGGTTGAATTTTTGGTTTTCGTCTTTGATTCTCAAAAGTTTGACTTTAATAGGTCTATGTGGCACACACTTCTAATCCTAGCTAATGGGGATGCTGAGGCAGGAGGATCGCAGTTCAAGGCCAGCCTCAGCAACTTAGTAAGACCCTGTCTCAAAATACAAAATAAAACATGGCAGAACTGGGGATATGACTCAGTGGTAGAGCACCTTGCATCCCACCTCAGTGCACTTCTTTTCTATTTCATTAGTTTCAAGATGTTTGTGATTGCTCATTGTATCACTTTTGTGTTGGATGCTTCAAAATCCTTGTTAGATAATTCTAACATCTGTCACCTACAGATGTTGAAATATATATATATATATATATATATATATATATATATATATATATATATATATATAGTTTCATTGAGTTTGAGCTGTCTCCTGTTCTTGGCATGATGTTTCTATAGAAATCTGGACATTTGGATATTATATTATGAAACTGAGCTGGTTTTTACCTTATTTTCAGCTGTTTTCCTCTTGTACCATTTGGCAGAAGAAGGAGGATTCTTTCCCATCACTGCCAGGGCAGAAGTCTAGTTTCTTTACTCAGCTTCTGTTGGTACCAAAGAGAGAAGATGGTCAATATTACTGAGCCAGAATGGGAGTTCCAGCTCCCAGCTAGACCTTCACTAATACTTCCCTTTGCAGGAGGATAGGGGTGTCTAACTGCTCCTTGCATGGCCTCCAATGGCACGTCTAAGTTGGGGGTCTCTAGTACTGGTAAAGAATGAAAGACCCTGCTCCTCATTCAGTCCCATCTGAAATCATTTTTTTGGTTTTGTGATGCTTGGCTGCAGTAGAACCATGGTTTTCTACATTTTTTTTCTCCCTTGCTAGGTTGCTCCATTTCTGAGCCTTTGGCTAGAATGACAGAGTCAGCTTTGGAGCGGAGAGTCTTTCTTGTCTATACCCACTATTATGTTTGGATCCTTGAGCTCCAAGTCTGAGCATATGAGCCAAAGTGGAAAATCAGAAAACCCTCCTTGTTGTTTGGCCTTGTGTCTCTGGATTCCTAGTCAGTGAGCCATCTTTTCTTCCCATTTCCAGGTATTCTTATGTGCATTTTATATACATTTCCAACATTTTATCTGTCTTAGACAGATAAATAATTATTTAAATAATTAAATTAAATTAAATTAAATAAATAATTAAAAAAATATTTAATGAAAAGATTATAATGATTTTCTTTTTGTCAGCATTTATCTTTAGGAGAGAATTATTTTTCCCATATGATAGGAGGATTCAACACTGCATTTTTAAAAAAATGTCTTAGAGCAAATCTAAAGATTTCTCTCAAATTCTTTAAATGTGATTTCTTAATCCCTTCTTTCTGTAAACTGAAATCATCCCCACAGCCACCACCTCCTAAGGCTAGTCAGAGAGTGAATGTGTAGGACAGATATATCAGTCAATTGTAATCTTTAATTTGTCTCTTCCACTAGCTTCATGACAGTGCTCTGTTCAAAAGCTGTTATGACAAATTTACATCTTACTAGACACATTCACTAGAGAAATGGCACATAGTTTAAACTCTGGAATAATATATTAATAAACAGATTCTATATCTAAAAATGCTTCCAGTGATCATTCATCTACCTTTTGCTGTTATTGTTGTTGACACTATTAATTTTCTCAAAGTTTTAGTGTTTCTTCCACATGGAGGATAGCAAAAGATCCATTCCAAGTCAGACTTGGAACATTTTAAAATGTGGCGAAAAGTCGGGTGATAAGGAAAATGTTAGTTAACTAAAGAGTTGGTAGTCATGACAGCATGAAACAATCATTTTAAATGATTTTCCACACTAAATTTTCTAAATGATTTGGATATGGACCAGGGTAATTGATATCAATAAGCCCTTGGTCAGAACCCAGTTGATGAGCTTGTTCACAGTGTTAGGAATTAAAACTTTGAGTTGGGCTCTTGGCAAACTACATGCATTATGTGTAGAAGAAACACATTTGTAGAACTACAGAGCCTGACCAAAAATCACCTTATTTCATATCATCAGAAATTAAGTGTAAGAGGACAAGACACAATTTTGGGTTTACTTTTTCTTTCTGAGTTCTCTTCGTTCATGACAACTTTGAAGTTTAGAACTTACATTCCTTAGAAGTTTTCAGCTGAAATATTTAAGACTAAGCCCATTTCTAATGGAAAAGAAAATATGTATGTCTATGTTTTCCTTTCAGAAAATTTAAAATGAGTGCATAGATTTTGCTTAAGCATTAAAAATATTCACGGAGTATGCATAAAACATTTACATTTTCAATGACCCAAAATGATCGGTATCTGTGCTTTTATTATTTCTACACATAACAGTGCTATTTACAATGTACATGACATACATCTACTTTAGGTGACTACTTTGTAAAATACATAGATCACACTTATCCTTGTTTCTGAGTTTGTTTTAAACTTAGAAAATGTGCATTCTAAGCCCACCAAAGTAGCACAGAGTAAAAGTCAAGACATTGGGAGAAAGCAACTAAAATGGAGATAGGAACTTGTCTTTTGGACACAATTGGCACCCACCACCACAGATTTTACAATCTCAATTTCTCTTTCACAGATCCCACTGACAGGAGGGTATTACAATTTTGCTGACATCAGTGACCTGGCATCGCTGAATTATTCCCTGCTTAGGTTTACAGAGGAATAAACCGGTAATTAATTATATATCAGAACATGAGAATCGACCTGGCAATAATGTACAGGCTAAGAACGCTCTATTTACATATGTAGGTTATTTAAAATATGTCTTGTTAAATAAATATTTAAAATACCTCCTTATTTAGCTTATAAACTGTTTGGACTGAGGCTGCAATGTGACTCCTTGCAGAATGTTCGAAAGAGTGAGAGAGTTGCCATAGATTTTCATCTCTGCCTGACCTGTACAATCTCCTCTCCGTGTGCATGGCAGGGTGCACAGAAAATATCTCTAATGAAAACAAGAACACAAATAATTTACGTTGGCACTAAAATATATAATGAAGATATAAATTTGGCCCTCCGAAAATCATAAAACTGGTCTTTATCTTGGAGCAGATATGTAGAACCAAGGATCTAAGCATAAATTACCCACAGTCAACATGACCACTTCAGAGAGAGAGGAGTCCAAAGTAGACAGGAAGTGAGGGAAACAAATGATTTCACAACAAAATGCACTCCCCTTTGTGAGTCGTTTTCCCCTTAGAAATGTCCGGAATTACTTTTAAAGGGGAATAAAATAAACTACAGAACTTAAAGAGTTTTTCACACCTCTCAAATCAATACAGAGCCACGATGTCTAAACAACCATAATAAATGAGAACACACAGGACGATGTAAAAAAGACAAACTCTCTGTTAATCTGCAGGAGGTCCATGATCAGAATTATTCAGGGGCCGAACCTGATGTTCAATATATTTTTTGGTGCCCGGAAGTTTTTTTTTTTTTTTTTTTTTCCCCTAAAAGATATGTCTCTGTACCAAAAACTGCCCAGTTCTCTCCAGAGCCTGTTTGTTTCCTACAGGACAGAGTCGCAAACACGGCAATTCCAGATCCACCAGGGGGAGCAGTTCACCAGCGCAAAACCAGCCTTCCCCAAAGGAAGTCGCTGAAGGCGCCTCTTCCTCTCAATTTATACAGCTGACAACGACCCTGATTTTTATCAGTTCTGCTAGATGTGGCACTCACATACCTCGCACAGATTTCATGTGGCCAACCTCACGCTGCTGGGATACAGGTTTGTTCAATCAAGAACACACCTTCCCACAAGCAGCCTTTTCTGAAGGACTTTAAAATCTGTCCTAACAATTTATAGAAATTCCCTATTTTATTATAGGCAGTAATTTAGTTCCTGCTTCTACACCAGCTTTTAGGCACAAAAATGATAGATTTATACAACCCATTATTCTATAATTAATCATGTGCAAGGATCCAATTGGGTGTGTGCATGGGCGTGTGTGAGAGAGTTCTCAGATCTTCAGGCATCTATTGCAGCTTGCTGATACCCTGCTTCTTTCTTCAGCAAGCCTTTCCCTTCCTCCGACCAGAGCCCTGGGTCTGGGAAAGAAAACAACTGTCAGAGAAAGGCTGGTGTTGGTGATAAGCCCTTTGTGTGCAAGCTCAAACTTTGAAACCAGTCTGTTCAAACAAAACAGCTGTGTTCTTCCATGGACCTGTGTATGGGCAGAGAACCCCAAGCCCACTGGTGAAATAAACAGCAACCAGAAGGGTGTACTAGTTTAGTCCCTGCAGCATTTTGCAAATGGTTGCACAATTCACTGGAGGAATTTCCTTAGGGGAGCCAAGTTTAATCTTTGAAAAGGGTCAGTCCTTTTGGCCTCTTATCCTAAAATCCTATCCTGGAACTTCAACTCATTGCTCTTTAAATAGTTATTGCTGATTAAGGTGTGGTTCATCTTCCTGGCTCAGCAGCTCTTACATCACCTGAGGAGTTAATAGGAATGCAGAGCTCCTGGTCCCTTCCTGGACCTGGATCCAGCTGACTGCCGTTCATATGGAAAAATGAAATTACTCACAGGAAGTCCTGTCTCTGCACAGAGCTGCTTCTGCTAAGAGGCAGGTAAGATGCACAGAGGATTCCTTCCAAGAGGGATACCCAGAAGCAAGATGACACATGACCTTACAGCACATGGACCCAGCTCTTGCACAGCAGTGTGAAAAGCCGAGAGTTCAGTTTTTCAGGAGAAAATGACCTGGTTCCCGATTGTACTAGCTTTCTGTTGCCTCATTTGTACCTCATGATATTACCTTCCTTGTGGAGATTAAATGAGCACTGGATTCAAAAGATTCCACTGACAAAACTGAATTCCCCTTCAGAACTGAATTCCCCTTCAGAACTGAAAATTAACCAGAAATTTGGCCATTAAATTTTTTCTTTAACTTTTCTATTATTTTCCTGCTAATTTTGTTTATTACTTCTGAATAAGACATAGAGATGGAAATTATCAATCTCAAGTCATCCTATATATTTGCTCATTCGTTGCTAGGTTAAATGCCTTTGAGGAGGAGAAAATTGAGAGCAAAAATTATCATTTGGGAATTTTGATGAAATTCCAAAACCTATCCTTAACACTTTTTTCAAGATTAACTAAGGGGGGACAATTCATTCTAGAAAATAAAGTAGAAATCATCCCATTAACAACATCTTAAGGTGAGGGAGAATGAGCCAAATTCCAACAAACACATCTGTTAATATTGTCATCTGAACACTGTCACAGGTGGATGGAATTAGTGGCAGGTATTTGTGTCATAGTATTATGCAGTCTGTATTTCTGTGAAGAATGAAACTTAAGGAGCAGAGTCCTACATTGCTCGTTTTCTTTCTGAACTTTATTTTATTCTTTTGTAGATGCTATAATATTATATTCTGAATTTTGGCACAAATTCATTAGAAGGTAGAACTGAGCTGAATATCAACTGCCTGCCCATCAAGTTGAATGTAACCTCTTTTAAAGAAAATCAGTTATGGAGGATTTACAATATGGGGCTTATTTTCTGACAGAGTAGAGGTTTGTTTTTTTGTTTGTTTGTTTTTGCAGTGTTGG